GGTATTGATTTCTCTTGTGAGACGTTAGAACCACTCACCCTAATCAGGAAATATTAAACAGAAAATTAAAATCCCAAATTTAGAATTAATTTAAGAACCAATGGGCTTGCCCCTTAGTAAAATTTCCTTCCTAGGAATGAAGAAAATTCTGTTTATTGGAAAGGCTGTCTTTCTGTGAGGTCTTTGAAGGCAAGCCTCATGATGTGGGGAGGTAGGCTAGATGGCTCCTGTGACCTCTTCCCCATCTAAATACTCATATTTTTTCCCTTTGGCAGGAAGAGGATTATGTATGTGGGTTCTGTGCTTAAAACGTTTTTGTTTTCTATAGCATCTACATGTGCTCAATGGGTCTGAAATATAAATGTGTCAGTCCTATCAAAGAAACAGTTTTCCACTGGGGTATGTTCTGTGGAGAATGAGAAGCATTAAAAATTCATATTCCTCTGTCTAAGAAAAAAAATGCCTTATGTTCTTGAAAAGCAAACTAGGGGCGAGGATTCATGTGGAAATCCCAGGCTTTGAAAGTGCAGCATGGCAGTCAGTTCCCCCTGCTGCCACACAGCCACGGAAGCAGTGCAAACTGGAGGTGTGTCCAACCAGGCGCTTAGCATGCCACTGAGGCATGACCAATGCCTCAGCTAAAATAAGCAACAAGCGGCCGAACATGTTAACATAATCTTCTATCATTTCTGTTTGATGGGGATTGGATGGAAAATCTGGGAGGCAAGCCATGATGTCGATTTTCAAAATTGATTAGCATTTTTTGGACACTGGAAGCTATTTTTGTGGCATTTCAATACTGAGTTAAAAATTGATTAGTGCTTTTAGGAAAAAAAAGTGTACAAAATTAAGGGAGTGCCAAACATAGGCTGATGACAAGATGAAGGCTCGGATCGTGTATGAGTTCCGTGGCACTGAGGCCATTCCAGTGAGCAGAGCTCTCGCAAGAGAGGGTGTAAATGGCTCTGTGCAGTTTTAGATTAGCTGTTAGTACTTGTCGAACACTTAGACTCTACTTGTGACAATGTGTAAAATGGGTTGCATGCTTGTAGGATAAAGGTTGTTTGGTTCTTTGTCATAACATTAATCACAGATAAACTCATTTCAATTGTTAGCGTTAAGTCCCTATAAAATTGTGTAGAAATTCCATGGTTGATGTCCATTCTCTTTAAATTTTTGTGGCTTTGAGAACTACCATGATAAATATTTTGTCATTTCCAAATGACTCCTAGTGGGGATGATAAAGTAATGATAGTTTTCCAATTTCTTGATTCCTTTTTAGTTCTCCATATACAACCTCGGTTCTCAGAGCCACTGTATCCCTTTTCAGTTATCAAACACAGACAGGAAGTAAAGAAGTGAAGCATAGCAGGGCACTTCTCAGAAGAATGAGAACCTTCAAAGGTCAGCTTCTCTTGCTTGTCAATAGTTGACATTTAAGCATTTATTTTAGGCATTATGGATAATAGTTTTTTTTTTTTTTGAGATAGTGAAGAACCGCTGTGTTGGTATGCAATTATGTTCATAATGAGATGCAAAAATGCAAATATGGTAGTACGTGCCAGTTCTTTGGAGTGCCTTTTGTCAGAATTGCAGCCACCATGAGACTTAGATAGATACCATGTCACTGTGCAGAGCTGATAGCTTTTAACGGAGCATCTATAACATGATATCTCTAGATGCTAATTAGCAGGAACCTTTAGTGATGATAAATGTAGAGGTCATTTTTTTTCTTGGTAATTTCAGAGTTAATTGTATTAATAGGACAATAGAAAAATTTGTTGGTAGAGTCAGCAAACATTTCTATCCTTTAATAGTTTAATGTACCATATGAGATATATTGTATAGTCATAACTACAGTACCTAAAATCTACCCTGCAGGACTGATTTTTAAAACTTCATTTAAAATGTAAATAAGAATATAACTCAAACTCCCTCCATCAAGTGTTTAAAAACTCTATTATATCTTTTCAATGTATTATTTGCATCTTTGCATTTTGTGATTTTTGGAGAGGAGGAGAGAGAAATCACAAGGGCTATGTAGATGATGTTCTGAAAATATTGCATTTATGGGCTATTATGTTTGTTAAATATGATATGATTTTTTAAAGAATCACAAAGTAATTACAGCCATAGAAGTGGTATAATGGAGAGATCATAAAGCATACTTTTATTTCCTATTATGGTTTGAATAATGCTTGATCCTCTTTTGAGTAAAGAGTAACTCATGAATTGGGCAGCTTTAAACCACAATAGTTTGGAGAGTCTGCCCAGGGAATTCAAAAAGGTTTTTAAAGGGTGAACTTGGAAATGAAGCAAAGAAAAGTCTGTTGTTTTCTTTTATCTGTCTTTCTGAAATCTCATTAGTATATTGGTAGCTTCTGATTGGTTAATTTTAAGTGTACTTTTTCCAAAAATTTAAGCATTATAAGACATAACCTCAGTTGAATTTTGGTTATATTCACAAATAATAAAATTATGAAGCCTTATGTCATCTAACTGACCTCATCTACTAGGAATTCTTTTTTAATTTTTTGATTTATTTTTATTTTATGTGATATGTTTTGACTGAATATAAGTGTACCACATGCATGAAATTCCTGCTGAGGTCAGAAGAAGACATTCGGTCCCCTGGAACTGGAGTTGCAGACCATTATTAGCCACCATGTGGGTGCTGGGAATCAAACTTGGGTCCTCTGCAAGAGCAGCCAGTGCTCTTAACCTCTGAAACATCTCTCCAGCCCCTGAGAGAATTTTTAAATGCTCAGTGTTCATTTAATTTTTTTTTGATTCATTCTTTAATATTTTGGGTTTTTGAGACAGGGAGCAGAGCCTCATTATGTATCCATAGCTGGACTGGAACTTGCTATGTGGACCAAGCTGGCTTCAAACTTAAAGCAATCCTCCTGTTTCTGCCTCTGGTGTGCTGGGATTACAGGCAAACATGTGCCACCATGGCCAGCTTCATTCTTTGGTAATTTATTTACTTACTTACTTTTGAGACAGGGTCCTGCTCTGTAGGCCAGCCTGCTCTTGAGCTCATTCTTCTCTTCTTTCAGTCTCTCTGAGCACTGAGATTACAGGCATGCTCTACCATACCTAGCCCATTTAAATTTATTTTGATACTCTACACAGAGCAGAAATTTAGTAGAGGTTCAGTGAATGAATAAATGAAAGATCATTGATTGTTCTGGATGTAAAACTAGTCAAAGAAGCAAAAGAAAACAAACTGATTTTTAAAATTCAACTTAGAGAAAATCCAACTAAGGATAATTTCCCATTAGAACCTGGTGTCACAGGCCTGTATTCCCACTACATGGAAGACTGAGGAAGGAGGATTGCAAGATAAAGACCAGCCTATGCTACAGAGTGAGTTCAAAGTTAGACTGGGTATCTTAATGAGACCCTGTCTCAAAATAGAAAGCAAAATATGTCTGATGAAGTAGAGGACCTCCCTAGAATGTACAACATTATGAGTTTAATCTCCAATACTACAAAAAGAAAATAATTTCTCTACTTCCCAAGTCAGCGACGGTATGCACAAGTCTCAGAGTTAATTGGCAGTAAAGCTGAGCTAATGAATTACTTTCCAGAGTGTAGAGCTATTCTGTCAATCAAAGGTCATGAAGACACATCACATACAAAGCAAAGAAAGGAATCAGGATTATTGAACCAGGAATTAAGATACATTGAAAGTCATAAGTGCTGTCGTTACCTATCTAAAGAATGGTCATAGTGGTGCCATATAGATGAGAAGTTAATTTTGTTTTGGTTGTACTTGAAGGTCAGATTGAGGCCAATGTGTTTGAATTTTAAACATACACAGTATGAGAAAGATTTTTTACAAGTTCTGTATTACAGGAGGTATAGAACCCTTGACCTTTTGTCAACTTGTTACAGATTTGGTCAGTAGTTAGGTGGTTAGGGCACTTACCTGCAAAGTCCTTATCAATCCACAAGTGATTTTAGTCATATGCTTAAATATGGTCAAAACTCTTTGAAGGGCAAGTCAAGCTCATTTCTCAAGAAATAAATTCATCTGAAGTGGCATAAAACTTGCTTCTACTTCAGACTGGTTAGCAGGAAGCCAGGAACTATAATGCATCATATATAATCATGTCCTTTGTCCAGATTTCAGACCTCAAAGTATCGGCTAGAACCCCTCCTTCTATAGCCTTCTCTGTTTCTTCCTTAGCATCATCCCTTCAGACTTGTAGTGCTGGTGCTGCAGACACATACTGCTAACTTTGAACATCTGGCTTCATCTTAGGGAATAGAGGATGGCTCATAAGCATCTCTGTTGCTCGTCCTGATCGTATGGATCGGAATCCTACTGGGAGTCCTGCTCCCTTCAGATGTCAGCTTGAGTGCCATTCCTGCCAAGCTGTCTGGTTTGGTAGTATGCCAGCATGCTAGAGAATATTCAGTCAGCTACATGTAGAATGGAGGATAAATGTGCACCTCACATTCATTAGATTTCACAGAGAACTGCTTATTCTGATTCTTCATGATCTAAACCAAGATGGCAGAAAGGGCAAAAATTAGCATTGCCAATGTAAAGAACTAGGTCGATGGGGGTAGGGGTCATAGTTGTCTTATGAGAGAGCAAGAGAGTTTGGATTGCTTTATTTCTTTTTAAAATGATCTGAGTTTCACTGTTAATTATGAGCTAGTTTTCACATTCTGGACACACATGTCTCTGAGTGGCTGTCAGGAATTCTATAGCAATAAATTATACTGTGAGGTCTGTACTTCCATATAAGATTTCCATTTCAGAAAAAAAAGGTGCCCTCAGACATTGCATTTCAGGGTGATAATTGCACTTCTCAGGTGGTTAAGAAAAAGATGATCTATAAATAATAATTAAAAAGTTGTGCCCCAGGGGAATGGGAATGTCAGGTATGGAACTCAAACATATGAAATGCTAGACTTGTGGCTTGACCCTGTTCTTCCCTATACAGCATCATAAATTTTCCACATATTTATACTTCAATATTTGGATGCAACAACTTGAGGGTTAAATTGGCCCTTTGATGGCATAACTTATCCTTATGAGCATTTGTAAAGTGTCACAGTATGAATGCTGGCATTAATGCATAGCCTATGAACTTTTAGAGGAATGTGTTTGGGGGAGGACAAGACTTATTCCAGCTTAACTATGAAACATTAGGTTAAAAATGGTGGATTTGAAAAATGATAGACTATGATCACCTGTCTTTGACTCACTCTGTAGAACAGTAGAAATATTACAAAGGTATGACCCCGTTTCTCAAAGGAGTTACACTAGCTTCAGAGTAAGGAGGCAATGATGGAATAGCAGAAACTCCCCCAACTTAAGCATGTACAATATGTGAAAGAGACTGTAGCATCTAAGTTAGACCCTGAAGACTAACAGGTATATCCTATGCAGAAGAAGAGCATTCCATGGAGTAGAAACATAGTGAACAGAAACACAGGGGGACAGAAATGGTGGGCTTAGGACTTGATAAATGATTCTTTAAGGGAGGGAAGAATGGAAATCTATACTCATGCACTTGATCAAAACATGAAATATAATCTTTAAGATTAAATGATGTAGGATGCTTGAAGATATTAAACAAAAGTATCCTTTTGTTTGCCTTTAGAAAAAAAGTTCTAAATATTTTGTTATTTTTATTTTATGTGTATGAGTGTATTGCCTGCATGTATGTGAGTGCATCCATGTCCTGCAATGCTGCGGAGGTCAGAAGAGGGCTTTGGATTACCCTGGAACTGGAGTTAAGGACAGTTCGTAGCCGCCATGTGGGTGCTGGGAATCGAACCCAGGTCCTCTGCAAGAGCAGTCAGTGCTCTTAACTGCTGAGCCATCTCTCCAGCCCTAGATAAAAGTTTTTTTTTAAAAAAATAATTGTTGAAATACAGGATTATCCAAAGGTGAGTTGCATTAATGATATGAGAGTTTTGTTTTCTTGTTAGTGGAAGCTATTGATCTGGTGTTTTCCAGGTGACTTGGGAGGGCAAGTTTATGTGGAGTAGAGGCATGTGCTATTTACTTGACTGTCATGGCGTTTTATGTGCGATGTTGCCCTGTGTATAGCCATCAGAGCATATCAGGTGACTGCCAAGGACAGGCATTAGCATCAGGGTATAGATACTCCCTTAGCCATCACCATATGGTGCTGTCTAAACAATAAGAATAAACAGGTTATGTGGAGTTCGTGTGCTGGGCAACCAGAATCAGTTCTAAAAAGTGCCTAGGATTGTAATTTTTATTACTAGAGCATTGTGAAATGCAGTTTGGGGTGATCATTTCAAATGTAAACAATCATAGTGCTGGCATCAAGACCTGCCTATCAATATAGCAGTCCTGAGAAACGGCAGCTGGTTAGAGGAGCAAAAAATGTGGCCAGGGTGAGTTATTGGTTATAGAACAGTCAGTGTCTGTGTGGAGAGAGTGCAAAGCTGCTGGTCAGTGGTGCCATGGGCACAGGTTTGACTAGGTGAGGCAGAAATGTGCATATCTGATTCTGTGCCAGCCTCAGGGTATGGATGGATACCCAATGGATGGAGTTGGATGGTCACAAGCAGCACTGTAGCATTCGAAACCATATGCACAACTTCTTTTTAAAATATTTTATTTTATACATATGAGTGTATTGCCTGCATGTATTTAAGTGTACCCATGTAGCGCAATGCCTGCAGAGGTCAGAAGAGGGCATTGAATTCCCTTGGAAGTGGACTTACGGATTGTTGTTAACCACCACGTGGGTGCTGGAAATTGAACCTGGGTGCTCTGCAAGAGCAGCCAGTGCTCTTAACTGCTGAGCCAACTCTCTACCCCTGCACAGCTTCTTAAAATGAAGTGGTGTGTTGCCATTAGGGATCAAAGACCTTCCTTAGTTTGTTCAATGTCAGTTCTCCAGAAGAGGTTCAGGTATACCATTTGACTAATAGTGTGCTAACAATTACAGTGGAGAAAATACCACAGCCCTTGCTGTCACCCAAAAGACTCCATCGATACTGCTTCAAGAACTAGCTGTTCATTACTTTTTTCCCTTTTGTCACTCATGCACTACTGTGGGATCAGAGGCAGGAAATTCCACTCAGCATCTCTTTCAAAAGCTATGTTTATCAAATTGTGGTTCAGTGGGTCCAAAAGTATGTGATGCCAAGGTATATGGGGAGAGTATGTTTTGGCAGGGATTTCAAACCAAGTCTTTTTATATTAAAAAGGACAGATGTATTCAAGAGTACCATATGCTATTGGTAGGTATGCTATGGTGAACAAGCACTTGTGAGGAATTTTTTCTGGGATTGGACTTCTTTGTGTTAAATTCTTAAACTCTGGTTGAGAGCTGGGAAGTCTCCATACATATCCTCTGTTGTTAAGAGCTCTTCCATAGGAGCAGGCATCAGTTGCTTTGTACCCATCTGTGGATTGGAAGAAGAGATTTGTCACACCTAGAGGTTTTCATGTGCTCATTTGTTACATGACCTATGAAAACCTATTTAGGCAAAACCAGTCAATAACCTAGTGTCTAGGAGGTCTAGTTTTCTACTTTCTAGTATCAGGAGGAACTCCATCCTGATGCAACTATAAATATGATTCCAACTCCATAGCTAGAGAGACGCAAATCTGCTGAGTTCATGTAGAGATATGCTTTTGGAGGCCTTGCTGTCTAAATAAAATTCAATACATTTGATGATCATCTTTAGAATAAGATGTATGCTGCACACTTCCAGACAGAGAATTGGATGCTCCTCTCCTTCTCATACTCCCTAGTTCCTCTGAGGATCTTTCCCTGCTAACAGACACTTGTCCCTTGTTTATGTGCAAACAAACTTTCCAGCCACGCATGCATTCTTAGTTCACTTAGGCCCCATCCAATGGAGACCAGTAGCTGGTTAGCACAATGATGTAAGTAACTGTCTATTGCACACTCCAGTTGCTAGTTTTAATTTCTCCTTACACTAACTCTGTATTTTGATGGTAGAAGAAGGGTATATTGATGAACCTTTTTGTATATAAGCTTGTTCATTTAATAAAGATTTTTTGAGAAAGTCTCACGCACTGACAAAAAGTGCACTGAATATTAAACGTGCAGATGACTCAAGTTTGGTAGCAATAATGTGTGAGAACAAAAATTTGTGTTTTTTAAAAATTTAGTCCTTGTCTTGTTTTGAGACAGGGTCTTACACTAGCCCACGGTGACTCAGAACTTACTATACAGCCCAGGCCAGTGTCTCCAACTCTTGGTAACTTCCCTGCCTCAGCCTCCCTCATGCTAGAGCCTCTAGCATGAGCTACCACACCAGCTTGAGATTGATAGCTTCCTGTTGTTTACCTTTATTTTCATCATTCTCTAGAGAAGGACTGAGTGACTAACTGCTGGCAAGCACAGGATCCTTTGTACAGCCATTTTCATCTTTGAAAACGACACTTGGTCTGAGACAGGGAAAAAGTACTTTCATGTGCTAATGTTACCAACATTCCGGTAGATGGTGACAATTCCTTTTTTCTCTCTCCTTTTCCTCTTACTGGCACCTTTCTTCTTTTGCAACCAGTCTAGACTGGTCTGATTATGATACTCATATGCTGGGTTAGAATAAAAACAACTTTCATAGGGTGAGTGGGATAATAAATCAGGCAGGAACCCTCAGACTAAGAGTTTGCTCAGAGGGGTGTCAGAGTGTCAGTGTATATCCCCCTCTGTGCAGGCATGGTGCCTCCATGAGAGGGGTCTTGCCCTACTTTTCCCCCTTTCTGCATTTACCCTTGACCATGTTTCTGAGACTTCAGATGTCAAACCCCACCCCAGTGTAGACAACTCAAGATCGGGATCTTCTGTCATGAAGATCTTCTGTAAAGGTCTACTCCCTTCTTGGGTCTGTGAACTAGAGCAGTTAGCATTGGCCTTCTTTGTCTAATGGAGAATGATAGTCGTCATGGGTAAACCTGTTCCTTCCTGCTTTCCCAGCTTGTGGAAACCTTTCAGCTAGCTACCTCCTCCCAGTCTATTTATTCTCCTCACACAGTATCTGCCAGCTTTCTATTCTAAAGCACATCTGTTATTGACAAAAGTTCCCTAGTTGTAATACAGGCCACAGGCTTAGTCTGACATCTTTGATGTAGCATTAGAGGCCCTCCACAGTGGGTCCCAGCAGGCCTTTCTAACCATGTTTCTGCAGTATGGCCTCCCAGAGAAGATGGCCATTAATTCCGAGGGTTTTAGTCAATTTCATGCTGCTATTACAGAACCCCACAGAGTCAATCATAAACATTCCAACTTTGATAAAGGTCTTCATGTTGTCATGACATGGCAGAAAACATTGCATGGTGAGACTAGGAAGAAATTTGCCACTTTCATAACTAACCTATTCCTTAGATAACTAACCCACCCATACTATTGATAACTGCCTTCAACCACTTAGGAGGCCAAGAGTTTCTATGACTAATCCCCCAGTGACCTTTAAGTTTCCACCACTCAACACTATTACAATTAAATAAGGACACGAATTTTGAGGGGGTCATTCAAACTACAGCCATAGCCCCTGGCCACAGCTTTCCTTTCACTGTATTTTGTTCTCATCCCTTTCTGTGACTTTTATGTCCCTGTTGACCTACATGGACATCCTGCCAGATTTCTTGGCTTTCTGAGATACTACCTCCACCATCCTCCCCTGACCCTGTCACCTACCCATGCGTGTCTCTTCTCTTAATGGTCTGCAGGGGAGTCTTGGAAACGTTAGGTGAATGAACATGCAAGAGGGCAAGTGAATTAACAAATGAGCAGGTAGAGGATATCTCATCACACATCATGGACCACAAGTGTAACCAACATGGTATCACGATACATCTCCTCTGGAAAAGTAATTTTAAAAAAATCAAGCCGGGCGTGGTGGCGCACCCCTGTAGTCCCAGCACTTGGGAGGCAGAGGCAGGCGGGTCTCTGTGAGTTCAAGGCCAGCTTGGTCTACATAGTGAGTTCCAGGACAGCTGGGGCTACAGGGAGACGCTGTCTCAAAAAGACCA